GTGAGTGTGTGTGTGTGAGAAAGTGTGTGTGAGAGAGTGCGTGTGTGTGTGAGAGTGTGTGTGAGAGTGTGTTTGTGTGCGAGTGTGAGAGTGTGTGTGTGAGTGTGTGTGTGTGAGAAAGTGTGTGTGAGAGAGTGCGTGTGTGTGTGTGTGGGGGGGTGTGTGTGTGTGTTTCTCTCTGTGTGTGTGTATGTATGTGTGTGTGGGAGTGAGTGACAATAAGAATGTTTGCGGGAGCGTGACACACACGTTGTGGGAGTGGGCGGTAATGGTCAGAAATTCAGCGGGAGCGGGCTTAAGAAAACTGTCCCGCTCGGGGCTCTAGGCTGCGCATCAACAGTTTTTTTTTTTCGCGCTCCCCCATCTCCACCCTCAATCATTAGTGCCGCTTGTTCGGTCTTTGACAGAACATATAGGACAATTTTTTAAATAGCGCCATAAACAATTTATTTCAAATTTAATTCAAGCACTTTCAAGGACCTGTTTGTTTTCAAGTACTTTCCAGGCCTTGAATCCATGTCTGAAATTCAAGTACTTTCAAGAAGTGTGGGAACCCTGTGACAGTGCAGTGAGAATCAAGCGTCCAGTGATCAAATACTGCACTTATGACGGTCAGACACTCTTATGTGGCATTAGATCGGATCGTGTGAAATCATGTACAATCACACCTCTTTAAAAATAGCTTTGAGTTATTTGCTGCACAGATGTTCTGAATGTTGTACCGCTGATTTTATTCTCTACCGTCTGATCTTGATGCGCACACATGCCACAAAACTCATCTGACAAGAAATAAATCAGCCACAACAAAATCCTTTTATGTTTTTATTCCAACAAGCATGAAGAGAAACTTAATTTTCATCCACATTTACAGTCTGAAGACCTGCAAACACACACGGAAAGCGAAGTCAGAAACTAAAAATATGCAGATTGTCACACAAACACTGACATGTCCTTCGATAATGAGCCGAACACACAGTATATGAACATCAGATGTGATTAAACAGCATTAACATGCGGACCAATGCATGGAAGCCCGTTTCCACCGCTGAATAAAAACAACACCAAGTAATTGCAAGTTATAAAGTCCAATTGTGGAAAAAAGAGACTATTTTATTACAATTGCAAGTTTATATCTCACAATTAAGAGAAAAGTCAGAATTGACTTTCTCAGAACAGAGTTAAAGTCTTAAGTGTTTTCTTGCAGCTGCAACTTCATATCCCACAATTCTGACGTTTTCAAAATTACGAGTTTATAATCACACAATTATGAATTTATAACTCGCATGTTTACATTTCGCAACTCAGAGAAAAAAAAAGTCAGAAAACCGAAATGTAAAATCACAATTGTGAGATTAAAAAGCCACAATTAACTATTTTTAATCCGCGGCAGAAACGGGCTTCCATGTGAATGAGGGTGCAGCGCTGGTCCTCACCTTTGTAGGTGGTGACGGGGACGTATGTGACGAGGGTGTACAGCTTGTTTGGAGAGTCTTCATCTTCGTTGCGTTTCCGGGACAGACGCACACGCATGCGGTACGGCACATTCCTGCAGAACACCACAGTCAGCGAATAACACAGCGACAGTCAGATCTGCTGAAGCCATCGGGACCAGACTCACTCACCGGACGCCTTTGGCCCACACGGCCTTGTTGAGACGGGTGTCGATGCGGACGTCAGGCGTGCCCATCTCCTTCACGGCAAACTTGCGGATCTCCTTCAGAGCGCGAGGAGCTCTCCTCTTGAAGGAGCTGCAGGAGGAAGACGAGAGTTAAAGGGACAGTTCACCCAAACATGAAGACTAGCACATGATTTACTCACCCTCGAGGCATCCTAGGTGTCTATGACTTTGTTCTTAATAGTTATATTTAAAAACCATAAGCTTTATAATGGCAGTGAATGGGTGTTATTTTTCAAAAGTCCAAAAGAAGTGCAATAAAGCGCATCCATCCATAATAAAACGTGGCTCCGGCGAGAGAATAAAGGCCTCCTGTAGCGAATCAATGCGTTTTTGTAAGAAAAATATCCATATTTAAAACATTATAAACACTTTTCTCTAGCTTGCGCTAACTCGTACGCAGATGACGGAGGACGCCTGCATAGCATAGTTCACTGCTTCGTGAAGCTTCGAAACTTTTGTGAATCAATTTTTTCAAAACAGAGGTTTGGAGAGCGCATCAAACTGCCAAAGTCACGTGATTTCAGTAAACGAGACTTCGTTACGTCATAACTGTTTTGAAACGTTTAGAAATGTTAATGGTTTGCCGTTGAACCCGTGAATCATGCGAGTTCATGGAGACCGCCCCGCAGCAGCGAACCAGCATCTATGGTTTTTACCTGATCTCGAATCAGTTTTAGCAGTCTGTAGACATTTTTAATTTGTGTAATTAAAAGGATGAGTAGTAGTTAATAGTCTCTTACTGATCTGTTTAGACAAGCTCTCCATAAAACAAACTAAACAAGCCCTGCAAATTAATAATAAATACATATTTATATTATATATTTTTTAAGTGCATTTACTAAATTAAACTTTGAAGAAAGTATTTGCATTGGGTTTGTAAACGCTGTTTTTACGCATGTTTTGGCACAAGCTTTTGTTGCATTTACAGTTTTGACCAGCAGGCGTCACTAGCGCGTGGCGTTTCGAATGAAACAGTGAATCATTTTGCGAAGCAATTGATTCGAAGCTTCGAAAAGGCTCGTTTCTCCCGTCACTAGCGCGCGCCGGTGATTAGTGACGAACGCTGAAGCACGGAGGAGAGAGCGAAATAAAACACCGGTCACGATTTAAGCACAAAACGAGGATTTGTAAAGAAAAATGTGGGAGGATTTCGATACAAGCCAAGAGGAGACTGGTTTTCCTTTGCTCCTATAAACAAGCGTTGGTTCTCGTGAGACGAGCATGTTCTCACCGGAGCTTAAACTATGCCGACGTCCTCCGTCATCTGCGTACGAGTTAGCGCAAGCTAGAGAAAAGTGTTTATAATGTTTTAAATATGGATATTTTTCTTACAAAAACGCATGGATTCGCTACAGGAGGCCTTTATTCTCTCGCCGGAGCCACGTTTTATTATGGATGGATGCGCTTTATTGCACTTCTTTTGGACTTTTGAAAAATAACACCCATTCACTGCCATTATAAAGCTTATGGTTTTTAAATACAACTCTGACTGGGTTCGTCTGAAAGAAGAAAGTCATAGACACCTATGATGCCTCGAGGGCGAGTGAATCATGTGCTAGTCTTCATGTTTGGGTGAACGCAGATATCCAGTGACTGCTTCAGGAGGGACTCACATGCCGTGGATGCGCTTGTGGATGTTGATGGTGTACTCGCGGGTCACCACCTCGTTGATGGCGGAGCGGCCCTTCTTCTTCTCGCCCTTCTTAGGTGCCATCTGAACACAAACACCCCGGGTGAATAGTGCACTTCCATAATGTGCCATTTTCTTGCACTGCCTTTGTACTTAATATACTATTACTGATTCTTATTACCCAAGTGTACTAAAACGTGCTATTTTGGGACACCATGAATATGAACTAAAATGTGCTTTCTGTTTTTAGTACATTTGAACCCATCTTTCATACACTAGTACTCAAGTGCACTACAAATAGTGCACTACATGCATTGCACACAAACACACTGCAGTCACTCATTAACCAAAACAACCAGTAAAATTCACCATCATACCCAGTTAACTCTCTAATAACACGCTAAAGTCATTTGTTACTAAAAAAAAAACATATACACGGCTCAGAAATGCTGATTGGAAGAGTCACGTGACCTACGTAGTGAAATAATCGATTATCAAAACACGATCCTTCACACACGACTTTATTGACGCGGTTTGTCGCTTCACATAACGTGCACAACGCGGTTTACTCTGGTGAAACTGCTAGTTTACTGCTTTATTTACACTTCCTCGCATCTCTGAGAACGACGCTTTAACGTTAACGGTCTTTAATCACTCACATCGGCGTTTAAAACACAGCAAAACGCATCAGAGTGATCGATAACGTGCCTGTACACTCAAATGCGACATTACACTGAATTATTAGTGATTAATAACGCGGATGATACCGGATTTATAAACAATAAACGAGACGGAGATACTCACTGTGTACGGAGACTGAGGGAAAGGAAGAGCGGTGGATTGTGGGCCACATACAAGGCGGAGCGCACACTCACATCCGGGTCATCCGACCGTTTTGCGTTCTTCTTGTGTGTGTGTTTTTTTATTATTATTATTTTTTTTTAAATAACGCACACAGAAGAGAATTTTATGTCTGTACGTATAAAAAAACCTTTTTTGTGTGTTCGAAGTATGAGATTATAGAAGTTCGATTTGGAGTCCGTATTGATTGAACTACATCTCCCATAATTCCGTTCGCCGCACCGGAAGCGCTCGCTCACACAGGCGACGGTTACGAGTGAAGAAGTTATTCAGATTGTCAAACAGAAAAAGAGTGAAACGACTGAAGTGTTATCGCGTATAATCGCTCATATACACGCTATATCAGTGCTGGAGCGGCGTCTGTTCTCGCTGAATATCCATGAGCCGGCGGGACGGTTTAAATGAGCTCCACTCAGGTAAGTGTGTTTGTTACTGACCGTGTCTCAAAACATACCGAGTTCACTACATAGACTGCGCTTTGAGGCGTTAAGATGTGAAAATCGTGTCAAATCTTGACTGGTTTTGATCAAGTAAGCATCAGAATAACTGCAGTAATATCTCCAGATGAACACTTACAGGACTGAAGCAGCTCAGCTTTACTTGATTCTCCATCAATCATGTTTTAGAGTCTCAAATCTGATCCTCAGGATCTTTTGAGGAGCGTTTGTTTCCAGAAGCTTGACTTTCACTGTTCCTCAGCGGAGGAATGATCTTCACAAGCCTCCAGAACATCTCACATCTTCTGAGGAGCCTTTATTTCTTCAGCTCTCAATCACTGCATTATATGTTTTGAGCATTTCACTCTCATCAGATTATTACTGGATATATAGAGTGATATTTAGATCATTTTATGTCAGTATCTGCTGCACTGTTATAAACATCTAATTGTTTACATTACAAGCATCAGGATTTCATCATATCAATATCAGAGTCTGCAGCAAATTAAAAAATGTATTGTTGGCTATTGCTACAAATATACCCCAGCGACTTAACACTGCTTTAGTGCTCCAGGGTCACATATGATGTTTTAAATCCGTGATCCGTCAATACAGCTGATCTGTTGTTGTTCATGTCTCTCCAGTTCTCCCGTTGATCCAGTGGCTCGTCTGACTGAAGCATCATGACTCTGGCTCCTAAAGAGCTGTCTAATCTGCTGGGCATCATGTCGGATGACGCCTGCAGCAACAGCTTCGAGCAGCTCTCCACAGCCTTCCACCACTGCTTCGGGAAAGCCGAGCACTTCCGCGTGGGTTCGGTTCTGGTGATGCTTCTGCAGCAGCCCGACCTGCTTCCCAGCGCTCCTCAGCGGCTGACCGCTCTCTATCTGCTGTGGGAGATGTACCGCACCGAGCCGCTGGCCGCTAACCCCTTCGCCGCGGTGTTTGCGCACCTACTGAACCCGTCGACCGCGGCAGAGGAGCAGGAGACGCTCTCAGGTAGGGCTGCAGCAAACGATTATTATTTAATTCAAAAACTAACACTAGCTTCTTTATGCTTTTTGTATTCTATCTATTTGTTTTCTTTTTATTTATTATTAGGGATGTAACGATTAGCGTTCCGTTCCGTCTCGCGCTCAGCCGTGTCCGCACAGCTTTCAAAGTATACTCAACCGCAGATGAGTGCAGACGGACAAGCTCGACACAGGCGCAGTTTGACTTGCACTCTGTCTCAACTTTCACCTCGCGCATGAGCTGTTGTAAGCGGACCGTCCGCGCGGTCTCAAAAAATTGCTTGCACGCGGACGGGGTGCACGGCTGTCCGCGAGCCCTCCTGATGACGAAAATGACGTAATGTGGACGCGGACGGCCGAAGTATACTTTGACCTTAAGCCTGCAGCACTAGCCAGTGTGTTCGACTAGAAGAGGTGCGGCGCAGATCAATCAGTGTTTGACATCCGCGAGAGTGATTCGAAAGCGCACGGAGCAGTCTGCTCTCTTTAGCTCTCGTGGTACTGTAATACACCGATCGGTCTGCACAGTCAGTCCGCGTCAAGTCGAACACATCTACTAGTTTACACCGGTTACACTCAGAGATGTGGCGCACACGTGAGGCTGTAGTGCGAATGCGTCCCAGCCCCCTTAGATGTAAGGCTACATTTACACTGGTGCGTTTATGTTTTAAAATGAAAATGATCCTCGTCATACTGGCGTTTCCACTGCGTTTCAAGCCGGCTTTCCACCATCTCC